CCCCCCCCCCCACACTTTCACTAATGCATGAGCGCCCTCTGCTTACAGACTTTGTAAAGGCTGACTTTATTTAGTATCTATCCCATTTCCCACACCACCTATGAAAAACAATTATAGTTCTCCAATGTATGTGCCAGTATTTGTGATATGATTGTAGATTGATTTATGTAAATACACGTTTATAATAGCCTTTAGATTGTATAGGCCATTGTTTAGCAGTAGTGGTATCCATTTTTTTAGGCATCAGCAACAATATAAAATATTATTATTATATTTATTATTGTTTCGGGTTAAGTGTTAACCTCTCTAGTGTTAACCTCTCTAGTAATCTAAACCTAATCATTTAAAGCACCGCAGCTCCACATTTTTCAAAGTCCCAGCCTGTTGTGGAGGCAAATTATAATACACTGCAAGAAATATTGGTAAATATAATTCAGCAGTTCATTTTAGTGGATCATAAGTCTAGGATCATATAAGAGAGTGACCCATGGTCAGATACAGAATGACACTAAATTTGCTCTCATACAAATAATCTTATTCCATAAATGATGACAAATGAAGCGTCGTTTTGTTCTTACAGGTGGAGATTCCTCCTGTGTTCCAAATCTGATTCTGGTTTCAGGAAATAAAATATGAGAAGAAATAGAATTGGGAGAAAGGTGGAATTTCATCAGCTTTTCTCTTTCAAACTCACCCTGAGGACACGTGGTTAGTGTGGACACGTTGTACAGCGAGGCGGGGCTTGTGAAGTGAAAGTAAAAGTAAAAGAAAGAAGCTGTGAAAAGTGCTGACACTTCTCCTGACGGGGCTTCCCTTCAAGGTCTTATCCTGTCTTAAGTTTAGAAGCTTCATCTTCATCTTCATCTTCAATCATCCCGTCTCCACAGTGAAGATGCTCCACAGCGTGAGGTCCTGTGAGCCGCAGAGTGGAGGCTTCTGCTTTGAAAACAGCCGCAGGTAAAGAAACGCTGCGCCGTGCGTCGTGTGACTGCTGAATGGAGGCGGAAATAGGCTGCTGGTAGTAGAATATAACGACAACTGGAGACACGCTGAAATAGTAGGAACTTTGGGAAACACACTCTTTTATGGTTGACATGTAAATAATACCGAGTGTCTGCTGAAAGCTGTGTGTTGACAACGGGCTGCATGTCTGACCTGTGCTGTTGCTGCTTGCAACTTTCTGGAGAATCGCTCAGAACAAGTCGACACTGAACACTGAGCTTCCTCTGGTCCTCAGCAACACACCTCACATGACACCTCACATGTGTCGAGTCACACACTCAAGTCACACTAAAAGGGCCCAAACATCTTTAGATGTACTATGATGTTTAGATATGACTAATATGGATTATGTTACTATTCTGACTCATTGTTCCCTGGAATAACTTGCCAGCCCTGACAAGACTACACTGTGAACAACACATGTGTTGAAGTTCTGTTTGGCTAAATAAAGAGCTAACAGCAGATGTGCGGAGGTTCCATTCAGTTCCATTATGGTGCGTTCAAGCTCCAAAAAGTGCAATGAGTATTATGTGAGGGTATATTACAACGTTATGATGATGTGTTCAAATGTAATCTTGTAAAATGTAGTTTCTGCTGAGAAACTTGAATAAATCCAGTAGTTTGAAGGAGATGTTTTCACAGCAATATAAAAGAGATATTAAAGAGAATTATGAGCTGTTTAACTTCCTAATTTAGTGTTATAATACATCATCAAAACTACAAATGACGAGATGTATTTTCTTTTTAATCAAAGCTAGGATCTAAAGACAAAATACAATCACTTATTTCCTTCTTTAAATTGTCTGTTTTTATGCAGATAACCACAATAGATGACAGTAACAACGTTAAAAGAAGACATTTAGAATTTGACATTACTTTTGTCCAATTGTGTAAATCTCAGTTGATTTGACTTATTTATTAATAGGCCTATATGGGGTTAGTAAAACACCTGGCAGCTGAAAAAGCTTCATGTCAAGCCCTGCTGTGTACTTCTACTTCAAAACAAAAGCTTGTAGTACTACATTTACCAGACAGAGAAATAAGAGAAGAGAAAATAGAACAGTTCAAATATCCTGCATTATTATTTATGAAACTATCCAGAATAATATTAGCATTCAAGGGGCCACCTTGATCAGACGTTAAGTAAATGAAGTACATTGTTCTGATAATTCCTCTTTTTCACTCTTCACTTGAAGTGAACATTTCAATGCAGAACGTTTACTGTGCGGTATTAATAGTTTTACTGTAATAGATAATAGTTTTACTTCAGAGTTAAAGTTAGTATCAAGTCTAACAGTCACAGCTGCTCACAGTCTCTCTGGTGAAATACTCCGGTTTGATTCTGCTTCCTGTGGGCTCTCTGCTCCTGTTCACTCCAGCAGAGGGAACAGGAGTTTGGTTGTAAAGTGTGAAGTAGATTTGATGAGTAGTGCTCCAGATATGTGAGGACACTCAGACAGACAGACAGACATTGATTCCTGGCGTTCTAGTTAGATGTCCCCATAAATGATCGAGTTTGAATTTATAACGAGCAGTAGTGCTTTTTCAATTGAAGCACATAGAATATAAACTGTAGGTATTTGGATGTGAACAGCAGTGATTCAGATTTATTGGTTGTAGAATGTCAAAGTACATCACTCAGTCACTGAAATGTGACATGGCTTTCTTTTTCCACATACAGCCCTGTCCCTCCTTGTGGTGTTGGGTTGGTGTAATATTCCTTTGTACAGATGGTGTTTGTGGCAGGATACGAGGAGACAACAGGGTTTGGAGTGAACCAACACTAACACAAGTGTCTCATGTTCATTCATCATTGCCAGGAATGCAGTGTTGGAGTCCAGTTTGTCAGAGTTTGGCTATAAAGCTCCCAGTGCCAGAAAGACAGGGACCACTATTGCTGGGATTGTTTACAAGGTGAGGATCTGCCCTGTGTTTTCAGTAAGAGACACAGAAAGACAGATGTTTTTGGAAATATGCTGTTATTTTCTACATTACTTTAAATGACTGCCTACATAACAAGGTAAGGTAGCTGCTCTTCATTTCTGCTTGTATTTCCTGTCCTCGTGTGTCAGGATGGCGTGATCCTGGGAGCAGACACCAGGGCTACAGACGACATGGTGGTGGCCGACAAGAACTGCATGAAGATTCACTACATTGCTCCAAATATCTAGTGAGTGAAACCGGTTCCACCCTCTCATGTGTCCAGTGTAACTCCTTCTTATTACTTGTGATTTCTTATTAGTCACCTTTAGTTTGGTTTAGAAGTTTTACTTTTGAAATGCAAGCCTTTTATGGTCTGTTGTTGTTGTGTCATCCAACCTCGTGAGGAGCCTCAAGCCTTCATGTGTGAGCCTGCTGGCTGTATGAGCCAGTGAGGTTTTTCAGATAAGCCCCCACCTGCACATGTACCTTAAATCTATTTCCTTTTCCTCCGTCTGACCTTTGCTTTTATAAAAAATACTCAAATAAAACATGAAAAATGCATGAAGGTTAATGCTGAAAACTGAAGGTGCTTCTTCTTTAGCTGTTGTTAACTCTCACCTCCCAGCTCACTTCAACCCACTTTAACTGAACTACTCGCAGGACAGGCTGAGGCAGCTGTAGCTCAGGTGCTACAACAGGTTGTCCAATACTTGTCTCCAGCTCCTCCCGTGCTCGTGTTTAAGGGTCCCTGAGAAAGACACTGAACCACAAAAGACTCCCAACAAGTGTACTGTAATCATGTAACATGCATGATGTATATAAAGGATGAAGAAAGTATTTTAGAGGATGTGATCTGATTTGACTGCATATTGAGGTATGGTATTAACTGGTATAAGATGGTATAAGACAAAAGGGATGATTTTTTCTGAAACCATAAGTCAACCTGATGTCACTGATTTTAAATATCTTGGTGTGATACTAGATCAAAATTTGACATTTAAGAAACATGTAAAAAAAATGGTTAAAACCAAAGAAATACAACCTAGCAAATTTTAGACACATCAAATGCAGCAAAGATATTTATGCATGCCATGATCCTTTTACATATGTCCTACTGCATTACGTGTTGGGGGCAGGCTGGTGAAACAGCCATAAGACCTCTCGAGTCTTTATATAAGCAAACAATAAAAATTCTGGACAAAAGGCTGTTGCACTTTCACCATTGTAGGGTGTTGGAAAAGCATAATCTACTGAGCTTCAACAATTTTAGATTGTTCTCAAATTTGTGGCTGGTCTACAGACTTTTAAATGGTTTGGCCCCTCCTCCACTCCGTGACTTTGTATATACTCGCTCAGTAACTTCCATTAGATCAGCGAGAATATCCTCTATACGAGACTGTACAATACCATTTCGCCGCACTACTTTTGGACAATCAGCCTTCTCTGTAAAAGCAACACACCAGTGGAACCCCTGCCTGAAGGTGTGAGGAGCTGCAGCTCTATTAGCACTTTTAAAGCCAACTTAAAAAGTCTTTTAAAAACTGCACAACACTGCACACACTGACCTCTATTCTTGTGGTCTTTTCTGACTTGATTTTATTGACACACATTCATTTTTGATGTGCTATTTGTGTGTAGCGTTGTATTGGGTGTCTTGTATGTTTTTATGGTATATCTCTGTATTATGTCTTTTCCTTTTACTGTGTTATTGTCTTGTCCTTGTTTGACCTGCCAAGGGACTGCAGATGCAAATTAGCTTAAGCTACAATCTGGTACAGTGCATCCAATGGAGACATTTATGTTTAAACTGTACATGGTCCCTTTTAAATAAATAAAATTAAAAAAAATTAAAAACTGATCGCCCACAGAGTTGGTCAAAAAGAGCTTTATGCCACTAAGACGTGTTCATGAAAGTGTCCACTGTTTGACTCCGTATGTTGTGTAGCTGCTGTGGTGCTGGCGTGGCTGCAGACGCAGATATTACCACACAGATCATGGCGTCCAACGTGGAACTGCACATGCTCAACACTGGGCGACCCCCACTCGTCACCATGGTAACTCGACAGCTGAAACAGATGCTGTTCAGGTGAGTGTAACTGAGATAGTGATGGAAGGAAGTTATTCATCTGTAACTTCAGTTTCAAGTCTACTTGTGTCTTTTCTCTTTTGCTTTCATTAACATCCACACACGTCCAGTTAGGCCTGTTGCTAACTGGACGTGTGGATCAGCATGTTGCAGTGATGTCTGTTTGGCTTTGCAGGTACCAGGGTCACATCGGTTCGTCTCTGATCGTTGGAGGAGTCGACGTGACTGGTGCTCACCTGTACAGTGTTTACCCACACGGGTCCTACGACAAACTGCCTTTCGTCACCATGGGTACGTGCTGAAAGTACTCTATACAGGCTGAATACAGTTCCACTCAGGACCACCCTCTAAGCCAGATGAAACAGAAACCCTGAAAAGCAGAATTAAACATTTGATTGTGGTTTCAGGCTCTGGAGCTGCAGCTGCTGTCTCTGTATTTGAGGACAGATTCAAACCAAACATGGAGGTGAGGCTGACTGCGTTCTTTCTTGGCAGATGTAATTGAATGTGGTGTGTTGTAATAAAAAGGGTTTGTACTGATGGCATGTTGTGCACGGGATACATATAGATGAGGTGTGACTGAATCCTGAATTTGGAAGTGGATCTACTGCAGCCGGGTCCAGTTTCAATGAATGTTTTTTTGGGGGGAGTTTGTCCTTTTCTAATGTAAGGGTCCAAGGACAGAGGATGTCTTATGCTGTACAGATTGTAAAGCCCTCTGAGGCTAATTTGTGATTTGGGGTTATATAAATATAATTGAATTGAATTCTATAGGTTTTCCAGTAGAACTAAATGTGTAACGGCTCAGTTACCTGGTTTGAACCCCAGAAGCCCGACTCACCAGCTATAGTTCCGTTTTACTCGTGTTCAGAAACAGGCAAAGGTCAATACCACACAGGCAATGGAGGGCAGAAAACAGTTGGGAGCACACAAGACATTCTGGCAGAAAGGGAATGGACCGATATATTTACGGCAGGGCTAACGGGGAAGTGGGGACAGGTGTGTGGAGCTGGTCAGGTGAAGGGAAGTGGCGGGAACTCAGGGGTTACTGCAGGGTAGGGAGGAGAGGATGATCTGACATGACTGGAGAGGGAAGAGACAAGAGAGAAAACATGTCAATTTGACAATATAACAGAACGGTGTCGGCAATACAACTGAGATTACGTCCTCACTGAGTCGCCTGGTGCTAGTAACGTTAGCTGTTAGCTGTTGGCAGCCAGTGGGCAGCACAGCCCTGCTATGATAAATATCAGAGGTTCCATTCAGTTACATTATGATGCGTCCAAGCTCTATTCAGTGTAAATGAGTATTGGCTGAAGGTAGATTATAACGTTATCATGATGTGTTCAAATGTGATCCTGTAAACTGTAGTTTCTGGTGAGCAACCTGAATACATTTAGTTGTTGAAGGACATGTTTTCACAGCAATATAAAATAGATATTAGAGATGAATTATGAGTTATGACCTGTTTCACTTGCTTGTAATACATCATTAGATGTTAATACTTATAATAAGATTGTTTTCTTTATCAAAGCTAATATTTAAAGAAAGATAAAATCATTTATTTCTTGATCATTTCAATTGTGTGTTTTTATGCAAATAACCACTATACTTACTACTTAACAAAGTAAAAGAATTTATATATACATCTGATCGGGGGAAGGAAAACTGGTATGGGAACAACTCTGAGCAATGCGTGGATGACTGTGGCTAAGTGGATAGCAGGGCCGTCCTTCAATCAGAGGTGTCCTTCAGCAAGACACTTTGCTCCCGTAGCTGTGCCTACGGTGTAGAAATGTGATAGAATCCTGAATTCTAAGTCGCTTTGGATAAAAGCATCTGCTAAATGACTGTAATGTAATGCTACCTGAATGTGTTGCAGCGAAACACAGAGTCAGTTTGTTATGCTGTGTGCCGGTGTATCACCGTATCACGATCATTGTATCAATGCATAGTTGGCTTGGTAATGCACAGAAGACGTGAGTTGATGGAAGGTGAGAGCTCTTGTTGTAGGGTTAGGGTTAGTGCATGAAATGAATCTGCCCAAAAGAATCACGTCTTTGTGTGTGTGTTTTGGCCCAACCTCCATTATGACCACCAGAGAATGGATCTAGCTGTTATTCAACTTTCAGCACCAACCCTGTCCTCCTATGTCTAATAACTGTTTTTCTCGTTCTCCTCTCTCCCTTTCAGCTGGAAAAGGCGAAGCAGCTGGTACGGGACGCCATCGCTGCAGGGATTTTCTGTGACCTGGGTTCAGGCAGCAACGTGGACTTGTGTGTTATCACCGAGGCTGGAGTGGAGTACCTGCGAAGCTACGACAAGCCCACGATGAAGGGCAAAAGGTGAGTCATAAGTACCTTTTATCATGTGTTTTCGCCCTTATATAGTGATATTCATGTTTTTCTGCAGCTATATATGGAGACAGGACAGTAACTGTACATTTTGGCATTGAAAATAAAAGATAAGTTCTCTACTTATATACAGATTATATGAGATTCGCGCTCCACTGACCTCCTCCCCTCTAAACCAAAACAGTGACGGGGAGTTGAAACTCAGCGTAAAACGTAAACTGAAAAAAGAAAATTCTGAAGAAGAAATTTGGGGTTCAGACATTAGAATGCAAAATATATCAAAATAGAAAAAGACTTGTAAGAGGTGTTTGTGCATTATGGATAACACCTCAGGCTTTGCTGTATTTGCATCTCTGAAACAAATTAATGTAAATCTGAGAAGCACCCATTGACACCCAGCAAATGTCCAGAAAGCGTATCCTGCATGTGGAGAGTTGAATGGGAGAAAGTGAGCACATTTCTGTGTGGGATGGAACAGTGCTTTTAAAGCCTCCTTCTGTGGTCACTGGTTCGGTCTCTATATAACTGTATTTTGCTGATCGAATCTCAGCCAAACACTGTGAGTAACTTTCAGAGATGCTGGTGTGGAAATAGTCTGCAGGATACTGATCAGTGACTCCTTCATTTATGTATTTATTGGTGTGGTTGAAATAAAATTGTCTCAGCTGTTTTATTGGACTAATTCAATTACCAGTGCAACTATACGTCAACACGCACAAAACGCCACATTGTAGGACTCATGACTTGATATCCTGTCTGCACCACCGCTTGACCTCACAGTAAACCTCCTTGTCTCTTTTTCAGAGAGGGACAGTACAAGTATGAGCCCGGCACCACGGCCGTCCTGACCAAAACGGTGACCCCACTCTATCTGGATGTGGTCAACGAATCTGTTCACATCATGGACACTGAATGAAACACATTAAGAGGCTTCTTTTCAATATGTAGTAATCCATCGCTGTCGAAATATAAAGGAAGACAGCTTCTTGTGTATCTCTAAAGCATCACTGACGTAAAGAAACAGTAACGTAATAAAAATGTATGTTTGTTAAATGATCGGTGCTTGCAAGTTATTTTGGTGACCACATGAAGGGCAGGAGGACTTAATCCCATGGGCTAATATTCACACAGCAGCATGTAGTCAAATATGCTACAATGTTCATTGAATGTATGAGAGAAATTATTTTTTTAAAGTCTCTTGTGGAAACTCATTCAGTGCAATAGGAGCTCAAAAACTATCAAATGCTTATTAAAAGCATGATGTGTGAATGATTTGTCTCACTGAAAAATGGCTGGACCTGATGCATTGGAATTATTGTAATAGATGAACTAGCCTATTCTTAAATTTGTTCTGCATAGGGATGGGCGGATAGTTGGATACTATGTGATTCAAATCATGACCCACAACAGCACACAGTCACACACTTCCAGAGGATGGCAGAAAGGCAACGTAGCAGATAAAGATAAAGCGAGATGCTCTATAAGTCACCTCTTCAAACATTTAAAAACAGCACACCCTGAAGGTTACAGGCAGGCTCCATTCAGTCTCAGTATTTCTGTTTACACCTAGTGGCACAAACACTTTTATTTAATTACACTCATATTTGCTTTTATAATAAATGTGTTATTAATGGCTGGTATGTTTTGCATGTAAATGGACCCTTTTTTCTTTCTTTTTAAAAAAATTACCATTTAAAAAAAAAAGTCACGTATCAGTATTGGTCGTTAAAATTGTAACAAAAAGTATCGGTACCCTGAACAGGACAGGTCTCCAGACTATCACAGTGCTGACACATAGAGACAGACAACCAATCACTACAGGCCATTTAGAGGCATCACTCAACCTGAGCTGCATGTCTTTTTCCTTTTCTGATATAATGGTCAGAGGACAGAGGATGTCGTATGTTGTACAGACGATAAAAACCTCTGAGGCATTTTTGTGATTTTTGGCCTTTACAAATAAAATGTAATTGAATTGACTTTGATAGATTCATATACAGAAGAATTAATGACAGACTATCTGTATTTACAGCAGACACAGTTGCTAGAATTTTCAGACTACAATGGACAGAAGAGGTCAGGCCTGAGAGAGTTTTCATTTGTCCAGACTCTGCTGTAGACCTTGACTTCAAAAGAAACAATAAGAGGTGATTTATTGATTTATTGATGTAAAATATAAACGATAATGTTGAGGATACATTTGGAATGAATGTACAACTGTGTTTGATTCCTGCTCATATTTGTGTGGAGGGTAACTGCACCTCAGTCAACATCATCGTCATCACATCCACCCTTCAAACTGTTCAAAATACATTACAGTATACAAAATAGGCATGCATTCGCATCACACACAAACTATGGATGTAAATATTCCTTCACAAAGTAGGACGTAACCATACTTCCTATCTAGTGTGAATACAAACAAATCAATAGTCATGACAATAAATCCAGAATAAATAATGTGTAAAAAAATAGATATCAAATGATGACGTAAATAATTATTATGGCAGCTAAACTTTCAAACGAAAGTGCAGAAGAGACAAAGTGCTGTTTTTAATGATTAAGATTTAGAAAAACTGGAATGCATACAGATAAATGTAATATAATGTTTGTATCATTATGAGATGTAGTAAGTATAACTCGGGCAGGAACGTCTTCATTCTCCTTATTCTAAGGAAAATATTAAAAGATATGTATTTGTTTTTACTTTTATATAACCTGAAGCATACAGTATATAGCCCTGATGTTAAACACCTCGGTACAGTGAGGGGCGGTATGCACCTATACGTTGGTTTGCGATTCGCCATTAAATCAGAGAAGAAGAAGAAGAAGAAGAAGAAGAAGAAGAAGACTAAGAAGCTGATTGGTTAAGCCGTTGAAGCTTCGTTTAAATTTACGTTGGATGTTGTTGTAACTGCTCGGCACAATTAATTCAGTTCGGTTTCCAGTATTTATAAAACATTTAGTTCGGCAATATTCTTCAAGTCCACGGTACGTTTTTAATAACTTTATTGGGTTAGGAACGTTTTAAAAAAGAGTGCGTTAATAACACGTTGTAGTCGTAAACTAGCATTTAAAATTTAGCCTGTCGTTAAAGCGATTTAGGAGCTAACGCTAGCTAATTTAACGTGGGAGCGTAAGCGTAAGCATACTGCTGTTATCTTGTGAAATATACAGTAACGTTGTGCTTGACTCGAATTAGCTCTGTTTATGACCTTAACGTTCCCGTGACTCGGTCTCATAGACTTCCCAAACATTAAAGGGAAACATTGTTTAACCAATGCTCTACAGCTTACATCTTCAAATGTTTTGTATTACAAATGAGGCTTCACGTGAAGACATCGTACTGTTGTTTTCAGTGTTAATTAACATTAACGTTACGTAACGTTAGTCTATGGAAGTTGTCTGATATCAGACGGACGTCAACTCGGTGGAGGGGGCGGGGTCATCGGCCCATATGCTACTTGTGTTTTTACTTCACTACATTCAGAGAGACATTTTCTACTTTGTTTATGTACGTGACCGCTTTAGTAAGAAGTTCGTTTTTTAGACCATTCCTGACTATTGAAAACTAGACAGAGTTAGTAATTGAAAAAAAACCATATAATTACGATTAGATTAACGATAGAATCAATTAAAGTACATAATACATGTAATTGCAATCAGTTACTGAGAAAACGTGTGATTACATTACAGTTACTAATCAAAACGTTGGTGATTACAAATCTATTCTTATATGTAGAATAACATTCAGTCAGTCTTAATGAAGTTCTACTGAAGAACGTGTGATAAAAGGTTTACACTGCTGGTTTAAGTTGATGGTTTTAGGACTTCAGCTTTTTTGCCAAGTTTAAAACATTTGTTTGAAAAGTAATCAAATGTAATAAGTTACATTACTTTGTTGAAGTATGTGAAATGATTTATTGTGATGTGCTCTGACTCCATGTGGGATTCAAAAAATGTTGACTGTATCATTCAAGAAATAAGAACACTCAACATCTGGTTCAGAAAATCACACGAGAAATAACATGAAGCCACGATGATATACTCCTAGTAGCTACTTTCAAATGAATTTGACTCTGCCATAATGTCTTAAAAAATAGCTATCATTTGCCAACAATTTTAATGTGATCTTTGTAATTTAATGTCAATACGTTTCAATTTTTAAGATAATCATACAGACAATAAACTCTGCCCTTTGTCTTCATCTGCTGGTTGAAAAACCCACCACTGTCGAGCTTTTATTTTGAAAGCAGACGTAAGGGTCCAACAGGATGACCCTTCACTTCTAAGTCAAATCAAACAGGTGACATGCTGACTGTAGTCTACTACGCCGTGCGTTCACACTGCATAGTATGTGGATTTAGTGAGAAAGGACTGGCTGTATACTACATGAACTTTACTGCACATACTCAACTGTCACATAATGCATTGCCTTTGGGTGCCTTGAGTCTGCTGGTAAAATCATACTTATTTGTTTATTAAGTATGCGTTTGGAACACAGCTCATTGACTGATGATGGATATATGCGCAAGAGTGTCAAAGTTCAAGGCGCATTGGTATGAGGAAGTAGTATGTCCCATGCATACAGCACATACTTTGTAAGGGCAGCTGCAGTGCGTACTAAAGCATACAGTATAAGCTGTTTATGCTCAGGAAATTCAGTCTGTTAAAAATACGTGTTAATCATTACAAGCATGAGAAACTTGAGATTCTGTACACAAATCAGATTCTGCTCTTACAAAACAGCTGATTTGTACGGAGTAGTGCTTGAATTTGTTGTCGGCGCAGTGCTTCCTCAAATCCTTTGTGGTGGATTTACTTCTATGATAGCCTGTCGGTGATGTTGTAGGTGAGGGTTAGGGTTATTTCTCACTACATACATCTCCAACTCATTCATTTCTCAGAACTGCGAGGTGTGACTTATTTATTCAACAGGGACCATACAGATAAACATTGATAGTAATACAACATATGTAATGTATATATTGTGCGCTTCCTTGGTCTTGCTCCTTGTGCTATGGCTGATATGACATTTACATGGAGAGAGGAATAACTCAAGTACAACTCCAACGTGATGAGAAAATCTAGTATGTTGTTTTTAAAGTATAACCAGTAAATGAGAAGAATTAATGGAGTACAACATATCCATCTCCTATGAAGAGAGGACATGAAGGTTTGTTTTGTGATTGATTAAGCATGTGATGTTCTCATTCTTTCACAGTTAGACCTTGGCTGCAGTATTTTTCATCTTTGTTGGAGGCGATGCGTCACGATTCATCTGCCAGCCGCCGGAAGGGGAAAACCCCTCAACATCGGCCCCCGCTGGAGGCCCCAGGAACCTCCGCTTCGACAGCCCGGTCCCCAAGACGCAGTGGAGTTACAAGTGAGAGGGATTGAAGCGGGAGGGGACCTTAGAACAAATCAGTATGTTTCATCCTTCCTGCTAACAACCAGTAGAAGTTCAAAACAGGGAAGGTCATTGAGCTAAACTAGTATTTACAAACTTGTCCATACCATGGTCCATATTCCAGAAGCTAAAAGTCTTTTACAGAAAATATAAAAAAACATAACAGGTTTCACCTGCAACGGTCATGTTGATTCATTAATACTCTGCCAGCCACTGCTTTAGAGGAAAGCCTACCTGTCTGCCTATTGTGACCTACCATCACAATAACACTCTGTGTCTGTTTTCCAGACCAGCCCCGTGTGTCTCCCAGGAAGAGACGGTTTCGACCAGGGACCAGGGCCTTAATGGAGATCCGCAAGTACCAGAAGAGCACGGATCTTCTGCTCAGGAAGGGACCCTTCTCTCGTCTAGTGAGTAAACCTTGAGGAGAGTCTGATAGCTGGACCAGGCTTAGTGCACTTTAAGATCAGAAACACTAAACCACTATCATGGACAGTGGCCTTCAGTAAAATCCAAGAATTTATGTAATTTTATGAAATCATAACACATTCCCCAGTCTACTATACAGAGATGTATTTGAGCGGTTTGTGTTGACGTTTAATTTTTTCTTTTCAAGTTTTGTCTTGCTTTTAATTGTGTAGTTTGCTGTTGATTTCCAATACATATCTTGAAAATCAACACATTTTTCAAAACAAATTCAGTGTTTCCCCTACCATTATATTAGGGGGGGTGCCCTGTTATTTACCTTATTTACATGACTGCATGTCATTTCTGTCTCTACATGGTCGCGCGTTTATAATTCTTCTCTGCTGTCTGTCTCGCGCACGACGGAGTTCCACCCCGATGCGCACAGACACACACACAGACACGTGCACACACAGACACGTGCACGCACACACAGGTGAGCACACTCCCACCAGCGGACAGAGAGCGCACGTCGGAAAATATGTTGTGTCAACCACTTAAAGGCAGACAACAATATCTGTTGTTTTTTTTAAACGCTCCCATGTGGTGAAGAGGCAACACTCGCTCTCCTGCGAGTAGCCCAAATACAGAAAAGAGCCCAATAAGTGCTTTGATCACGAAAAAAGGACAAACTAATCCACAAAGTAATACAGATTTCATTCAAAGCTCCCAGAGCAGGAATAGCACAGGGTTTATATGTGTCTTTTTTACGCATTCATATGGTTTTGGAATGCATGCAAAGCCTGAAAAAGCATCATTTTCTGCTGCTACTACTTTTCCTCTGACCTGTGTGACTGCAGCCATGGTTGATTAACTCTTGATTCATGTCTCAGGTTCGTGAGGTGTGCCAGAGTTTCTCTAGTGAAGCTCTCCGGTGGCAGGTCTACGCTCTTATGGCCCTGCAGGAGGTAAGCAGATGCCTCCACCACCAAGCTAACATGCTGTTGTGTTTACTTCTGGTCAGCATACTCGAAACACCTCGGACACAATTCAGATGGAGGATTTCTCTCATGGATAAAAGTAGAACATGGTTGCCTGTGTATAACATATTGTGTCATTTGTCTCTGGTTTAAATGAGATCGTTAGACATTCATAATCATTTTAGAGGAATACTTCACTCTTAAAAATGCCATTTTACCATGTTACCTTGAATTCCTGTCATGACTCCACGGTGAACCTGAAAATGGGAGTAAATCCTTGATGAATTGTAAATGGGGGCAGCGTTTAATAACAGCAAAACCATATGAAAACATGTATTTACAAACTCTCACAAAACTGGTGCAGTATAATCCAGTCTCAGTTATCCAGTGTTATGCTCACTACTTCCCTAACACATGCATTCATCACTAAAATCCTTCCTATGTAAAGCACTGACTCGCAACGTGCAAGGACAAGCAGTAGTGCTTTAAATACAGCTGGATAAATGAGACCTGAACTCCACACTACTACAGTCTATGATATATATCTTTTCAGCATCAGCATCTGTGTGAGCCCCCTCACTATTAACATCATACATAAACGGTACAAAGCAAAACAGAAATCCTTCTGCAGTGCATTACAATAGTGCTGAAGGTTTCACATAGCACCTCTAAGACAGGGTACTGACAGCCTATGACATTTCACACTGCAGGTGGTTCGGTACTTTTCCTTACTCATAGGTCTTCTACTCTTACTGCATCACTGCAGCTCCCGACAACAACCATCACCGTTGAATTTCAGCTTTTCAAGCCAACATTGTTGAAACAGAGCAGCTGATATTGTTAGCGAGAGCAGCAAGCTAGTGGACTGCTGAGGGCCAACTCTGCTCCGCACACAAGGTGCATGTGGACAGATTGTAAAGCCCTCTGAGGCAAATTTGTGACTTATACAAAATAAATTGAATTGAATTGTAAGCTCCGCCCTCTGTGTATTCTAGTTAATTATAGCATTTTCAAGAAAGACTCACACTGAGCTGAAATGAAACCACATTGTGTTCTGTCACTACATCGATGCAGAATCGTTTTCGTCTGCATCGTCATGACTATTCATAAAAATAGACCCATGTAACCAGTGTGATGAATACAGTAACTCCTACTTTTAAGTCCTAGATAATGAACCCTATTTATGTTTAGAGTAGAAGCTAACAGCCACGTTCTAAACACACTGAGTCACCCAACGAACGAGCCAAAGCCCGTTTCTTTGATGTAACATCACAAATATCCGGTTTTCTTTCTCCTCGTCCTCCCAGGCTGCAGAGGCGTTTCTCGTCCTGTTGTTCTCAGATGCCAATCTGTGTGCCATCCACGCCAAGCGGGTCACCGTGTTCCCCCGGGACATTCAGCTGGCCAGGAGGATCCGTGGAGTGGACAACATGTGAAAACAACGAGTCTTTCCACTTCACTTTGTTCTGATTCTATGATGCTGTGTTGCATCTGTTCAATAGAAGTGTTGTGATTTCTTGGGAAAAAGAAACGTTGGCAGATCATCACAGGTTTTATGTTCGCATCAAGTCACCTTTTAAGAGTTTGACTGTTAATATGAAAATGATTCTTGTCCAGCAGTATTTGAATACATTTTTGAATAACTTTACTTTTTATAATAGATCTGCTGTCTTAATGTGATCTTTGTGTACATATTGTTCTCCATTCAAGTAAATTGATTTTGTCAATAAACTGTTCTGTTACCTACCTGATGTTTTTAGTTTTCTACACATTCATGTCATTGTACCTCTTTGTATGATGTCACCATCATGTTTTACACATTTGTGCCTTCCACTGAAAATTAGAATGTCCTTTCGTAGAAGTGTTTCCTGCCGCAGCACAAATCTGAAGACATTTATAAAAGAGTTTTTCTTATCGGTGTGTTTGTGTGAAAGAGGGGTTCCTATTTGTTTTTGAGAGTCAACAGCAGTTATGTTCTGAGGTTTAACAGAAGCAAACAGATATATTTCCTGAAAGTTCATTGAAACGCATGAAAACTAATGAAGAATGGCTCTTCAAGCGAATGTTTTCACCTGTGGTATGACTTCTAATGATTCTGTGCAACTTTTATTTCTATGGAGTAGCCCCATGTGCCCAAGGACTAAATATAGTCTGATAAGAAGCTGGCTGTATCTCAGAAACTTCAAGGAGCACAATCAATTGTTTGACATCTATGAACTCACAACAAGTTGGATATGAAATGTTTGCACACGTTAGGTGTAAAACAATATTTCATGTGGAAGACATATGACATACTCATGAGCCCTCGGCTGAGCGCCTCTGTGTTGGGGTCGTTGCTGGGAGCCATCCGGTCCGTGTAGAACCAAAGTGAGAGCTCTGCCGTACCCTCTGCATTAAGTCAAACACGTTGCACTTGGTGTTGGCCTCCGCCACATGTCCCTTGTCACCAATCCTGTTTGCGATTTTCATGGACAGGATTCAAAAAAAGAATATTATGCAGCCAGGTTCACAGGCATTCAGAATTGCTTTCAAAGGTTTAGGTAAACTTTTCTCATTAAATGTTATGTTGACTTGCCAGGGAGCTAAGCCAGACGGTCTTTCTACGTTCTGACCCTGACCTATGGTCATGAGCTTTGGGTAGTGACTGAAAGAATGGTAATGGTAGATGGACTTGTATTAGTATCAAGCCTTTCCGAATCACTCCCACTCAAAGCTCTTTACACTATGTTACGCCCACCGACTTAACTCTGCCTCCTTTTGGAAGAGAGCTGTGTCTGTGTTTCAGGTCTGCCACGCCCCTTTTGACCGCTGAAGCACCCACACCTGAGAGTCCTCAGTCCATCAGTGGAGCTGGATATCAACCCCCACATCCAGTGCTCCCCTGTTGTGTTCTCTCTTGGCCTGTGGAGCTGTTGGTTCTCTGATGCTGCTGCTGAGAGCATTGGTACTGCCGAACCTGGGCTTTTGATTGTTGCTGACTACAGAACTATGAGGTTACCCTCTGTCTTGGCTGGCTAGTTGGTGGGGAGGTTATTAGTAACCAGCCTGGGTAACTTTGGGGAAGTTGTGTAGGGGTTCTGTCATTTATTTAGTTATTCCTGCTATCTCCTGTTTCGTGGCTGGTTAGGGAGCTTAATATTGTTTTTCTGTTTGTTTCTGTAGGTCAGCTGAACTCTTCTTTTCTAGTTAGCATGGGGGTTTTGCTTCTTATTTTGGCCTTCGAGACCCTGATGTCCACGCTTCCATTTTAGTTGGTTTGTTTCTGTTCCTCCGTACTCTGTCAATAAATGTCACTGATTGTTACTTAAGTGTTCCAGCTGCCTTATCTCTTCATTTTGTTTCACCTTTTGCCAAGGTTTTCTATCACCCATTATGTTACTCCCTGTGTACCCCTAGGCACACTAAATAGAACATAACATACATGTCTCACACATTCATATACTGATGGCAGTGTAAAGGTTTTCCGGGGACGTCCAACTGGTAAGAGTCCACGGGGAAGACCCAGAACACACTGGAGGGATTATAAATCTCATCTACCCTGGTATGCCTTGGGGTTCCCCAGGAAGAGCTGGAAAGCATTGCTGGGACGTGTGGAATACCCTCCCTGCTGTCAAGGGCAGAGGTTTGGTTTGAAAATTGGTGGGACATACATGAAGCGGAATGTGGTCCTCCCCCAGATAAGTGTGAGTGTCAAACACACGCCTGTATGCTGGAGATTTTTTTATGCATTGATTTATTTTGGAAAAGTCTTTATATATGTAAAGGAAAACAACCAACCCAGGCAGCAGGTGACAATTCAAAATAAAAATAGAATAGAATGCAGCCAGGCTCGCAGGCATTCAGTATTTCTTTCAAATATTTAGGAAAGCTTTTCTCATTTAATGTTATCTGACAAGTCAACATGATAACATTAGCTAGGTTGTGCCTTTAACCTCTTTAAATGTGCATGGAGCACCTGTTCACCTAAATGATCAATGAATAAATAATAATGTATCAATACTAAAATTGAATAGCCCATATTTGTTTAAGCTGGATTTCTGTTCATGTTCAGAGCTTTATCTACATTCAAAACATCCCGTATATTTGTGTTCTCTAAGATGTAATATTTTGAGAATAAAGTTGCAATTTAATGAGAATAGTCATATTTAAAGAAAACAACCTACCTGTCCAGAAAACCCTTCTGATAAGCCATAAATGTCCCTATTGTTTGTCTTAATGTCCACACAAATATTAACTTCACCACCTCTGATAAATTGCAGTAGCATAAGTGTCCACTAAATCCACTTGATCATAAACATTCAAACCAACAGTTCAAACCCCCGAGTGCAGATGAGAGGGGTTTGAACTGTCTATGTTGCCTTTCATCTCCAAAATTATAGAGAACGTTGTTGCTAAAGAGCTTACTGCTGTTTTAGCTTTGAACAACATTTTAGATACATTTCAATCTGGTTCCTGTCAGAACTGTTCCACTAAAGCAGCTCTTCTCAGAGTCTCCAATGACATGATGTTTTCTAATGTGGGAGAATGCTCGGTGTTAGTGCTGCAGGATCTTACATACTGTGGATCACAAAATTCTGACTCAGAGAGGCAGTGGGTGGGTGTTCCTAGGAGCCCCTTGGACTGGTTCTCCTATCTTTTTCTGTTTCACTTAGTCCCTACATGTCTGAAACTGATGCTCTTTCCTCTGGTGGTGCTAGGGTTCTGTCTTGGGTCCTATATTATTTGCTTTGTATTTGTTTCCCCTTACGTCTTATTATTAGCAAATGTAAAAGTATCTCATATCACTATTACGCTGATGATATCCAGCTGGATGTCTCTTTTAAGCCTGATGAGACTGACAAACTGACTTTTTTGCATAACTGTCTGACTGCCATTAGGCTTACAATTAACAACTTTTTGCAGTTAAATACAAATAAGACTTAGGTCCTTATCATAGCTTCAGACAACATTGCTTCCAAGGTTGCTCAGTGTATTAGGCCCCTCTGCTCTGTTCTACAGGCAAACCTCAGAAATGTAGGTGTTATATTTGATCAGTCTATGTACTTTAATCAACATTTCAAATCATTGACCCCTACAGGTTTTTTCCATCTAAGTAACATTGTTAAACGTGTCTGGTCCTGCGTTACAGATGATCATTGCCACTTTTATATCTTCCTGCCTGGAACACTGCAATTCCGTTTCCACCTGGTAAAGGAGAGAAGGCAAACGGTCCAGAACACAGCTGCAAGGCTGTTGACTATCTAGTCTCACATCACTCCCATATTATTTTCTTTACATTGGCTTCCAATCAAGTTCAGGATTCACTTTACGGTTTTAGTTTTCACATATAGAGCCCTGCATGGTCAGGCACCTGAGTATATCTCTGCCTGCTCCATCTCTATCACCATAGGTCACTTGGGTCTTCTGACCAGGGCTTACTGGTTGTTCCTTGGGCTCTAATGAAAACTGAAGGGGACCGGACCTTTGAAGTGGTGGCTCTGACACTGTGGAATGCTCTCCAGGAAATGAAATGATGGGAATCATTATTTAAAAGATGTAGAGCAGGGTCCATTGGTAATTGTACCTCTGTTAGTTCTGCAAGGGTACCAATACCCTTCCCCCGAAAAACAAAAAAACCTGGACATTCCCATACATTGAGTGAGTAAGTGTAATAGCCAATCTAGTGTTTTTGATATTCCCATAATTAAAAGTAGGGATATAAGTATATACTTTAATCGAGAGAAATTGTATTTATTTTCGAGAAGGGGGTTTAGTCTTAGTAATTAGTAACCCCAAATTACTCCCGTAGGCTGTGCCTCCGGTGTGTGAATGGATTACTTAATCCTGATGGCACCCTGCATGGCCGCCCCTGTCATCAGTGTATGAATGGTGGTGAATGGGTGAATGATGACATGTTGTGTTGAAGAGCTTTGAGTGGTCAGAAGACTAGAAAAACGCTGTACAAGTACAGTCCATTTACCATTCTTAAGAACTTGAAGTTGAGTTGAAGAAGATTTTTTGAGGTTATTGTTCATAAAGGCACTCATATAGTCGGTGGTCACTTAACTTCAACAATTGTGAGGTAATTGAGGGACATTTCTGCCTTGAATATAGAACTTTTTTGCTCTGAATGGACGTGAAACAAAATGCCAGACGTTCCCTCATTGCCGGACCCAATCTTTTCAATTCATACATTTAAGCTATGTCTACATAATATTGTAACCCCTTTTGTACAATCAGCTGATACCATGACCCTGTAAATGTCATTAGGTTTGAGATGTGTTCCTGCATCCCAGTGGTGGGCCGTCAGGGCCAGCAAAGCCTTCTCTGCTGGCCTAAACAGAATTACAAAGTTATAGCTATTTTATAACTTAATAATTTTTCAGAAATACACTATATGTATTCTACTTAACCCCACAGTTAGCAGCCCTGACTCAGCCAGGAAAAGGATTTGTACGAACGGTATTTCTGGCTGACAGCATTGGAGAAGCATTGCACATTTTATGGCTAAGAATGCGTTTTATTTGCAACTGAGCGTCTTGGTGTTTGGAGCTGTTTGGAGCTACGCTATGCTAACCTGAGGTGGCTAACCAAGGCAGCAACACGGCACCATAGCACGGCAGGACACTTACAAGCTACGGTGCTTATGAAAACTTGACCCGAGTGGATCTACAACTCAACGAACACATTCGCAGGAGGACCTCTGGCTGGAGCTGACTCGCACCAATGCTCTGTACAACTGCGTCATTGAACTCTTTGTTCACAAAGAAAGGAGGATGGACTTTGTCTTTAAGTGAACAGCAGCTTTGGTAAGTGAACTGTGTTTGTGTTTTTACATTTCGGACATTTGATTTTCTGTTTTGGCTCTTGTTTTCTTTTACAAAGCAAGAATGATGGTCTGGAGATATGGGGATTGTGTGGTGATTGCTTTAGCCCTGTTTGAATCAGTAGGGAACAGCTCAACGCTGCGGGGAGAGTTTTCAGCATGTGTGCTGCTGTTGGTTTTCCTGCTAATCTAGTTTAGCCTAGCGCGCCTCTCAGAACAGACAAGCCTCACCAGAGTACGTTGTTCTTCCGTGGTGGGCGTGTCAGACAGCACGTTATCCGTTACGTTGGGTGGGTTGCCATGTTGAGCGCAGTGGCTCCACTGAGAGAACATTATATTTCCCACAATTTAAACTTCTGCATTTTCCAAATGCAACAGTATTATTCAAACGTATTGTTTGATTCATAATGCATACCGAACGCTTCAATACGAATATGTGTATTGTTACACCCCTAGAAACAAATAATACCCGTAGCGTCATAATGAGGTTATTAGGAGGTAGCTCAACTGTAGTAGGACAGCACTGAAGGCCCAGGTATAAAACACACGGCCCGCCACTGCTGGATCCCCGTTAAATCATCTTAAGAAATCTAAAACCTTTGAATGCTTGTATCAGTCCTCTAACATTTAATGATACAATAGTGACATTTTCCAATTCATCAGTGCTGCTAATATTCCCCTTGAGCTGATGTTGGTGGTGTCCCCTCCCATACCGCTTCCCAATTAACCCCTAGCTTGTGACATTAGTGAGTGTTATTTAGTTGTTAAATACTGAACACTGAAAGTCCCCCTCCAGCACCAAAACATTAGAAAGGCAAAGAATAGAAACTGATAGAAATATCAACGAAACATAACCATTTGGATATACCAATTAATATCTATAAATATAACCATTCACATCTCAAAAATAGTATAACACGTTAAGTATTTTGTGTGAACTTCTTCCACTGTGACACAGGCGCCTCAAGCAAACTTGTTAGATTCCTCGCCCTGTCATTTGACAGACAGAAGGATGAACCAATAGCGTTCTAGTTAACCTCCACCGTTATTTAACTCACCGTAACTTCCGGTCTTAACTAATGCTGCGTTCACAAGACATCGGAGTTTTCGAGTTTCAGACTTGTAAATAGTGTTCAAGTCAACATCAAAGTCGTAATGATGACAAATGATGAAACTCAGATGTTTCCGAAAACTCCACCACGTGCGGTTTGGCACTCAATTATATGGAAGTGCCTGAAAGCAGAAATACTGAAGTCTTTGATGTACTGTTATAATGTCAATGCGCAGTATTGTGTTCCCCACACAACCAACATCTTTCTCCTCACACGAACAACTCTGTAATCACGTGATCACTCGCAAGGCTAATGTCGGAGGTTGTTCCATCAGGTTCCATCGCTACCACCATGCCATGTGACTTGAACGCTGCATAAACAACAGAGTCCGTCCGGGTCCCCGGAAGAGGAGCGAGAGGAGTTTATATTTGATCCTCGTCACTTTTAAGTAGCTGAAGTTAAGCGGGGGATGCAGCACGGTCTCTGGGATCTACAGAGGAGGACATGCGGATGTAGCTGGCTGCTCTTATGGCAATAATAATAATACTAATAATAATGCTCTGAGAGTCTGAGTCGGGATGTTTTCAACCAACATGGAAACAAAAAGAGTGGAGATCCCCTCCGGCGTACTGGACGACCTGTGCAGGTAACTGCACGCTTAAATAGCGACCTTTGCCGCCGTCATTACGCATTTTAGTGCAATCATAAAAGTGGGACATACCTGTATTTTGTGGAAAGCAAACGTTCTTCGAGCGAGACCAAAAACTCGCGCTCTCTGCGGTGCATGACGTGTTGTATTTGCTGTTAGCTCGGCCGATGTTCAACCGCGTTTGTTGCCTGATGCTTTCACCGTTATGTCGCATAAAATGTACATACGGTCGGTGTTACCGACAGACGAGGCACGCAGCTACCGATGCTTTAGAAGAGACACCCCGGGTTATTACGATAGAACACGAAACTTCAGTTGATTATTGACATTAAGACAATTATTTTTTTATTTTTTCTATTATAAGTTTTGTAACTTATAACCCATCCATCATCTTTCACCGCTTACCCCAGCTGACACTGGGAGGAGGCCCGGTTCACCTGGACAGGTCTCCAGACTATCACGGGGCGGACCCACTCCTAACATGTTGTGTTTGAATAAAGAAATGAATCATTATCTAATGCTAACTTTGGATTATTGTCAGAGAACTCTACAGACACAAACAGGCAACGTATTAAAATAAACACCCACATCCGTATTTTGGATGTTTTCATTCCAATAGTCTGGGGAAACACAGTTTATGGAAGCAAATCTCGTAAAGTGCATGAAAAATACTGTTTTTGCCCTTAACCAATCTTTATAGGTATGCATGGAAGAAACACACAGAAAGTCCAAACACAGTAATGTCAGGGCCATGAAGTACCAGCACATTTACACTGAAACACACTGTAAATATGAAGTCAAGCCAGGTGGCAAGCTGCATACGTTGTGCCAAGAAGGCGCAATTTTAATTAAAATAAAACCCAAATAAATACAGATAATTAAAGTTTTGTCGGCCTTTGTGTTCTCACTATTCAAGGATCATTTATTGTTATTATGAAACAGAGATGCATAACGAAATGTAGTTGTATCTCATTTGTAACTCATGACAAACCAAAGAAACACAGTAGTACATTTGTGTAGTGCATTTTTTATATTTGCACCATAAGGAATGTAAACAACAGAAACAGTCCTCTGGCAGATAGCATGGCTCTTTTCTGTGCTTCCAGTCCCACACGCTCCAATGGAGTGAAGGTGAGTGTGGGCAGTGGATGTATAGAGGACCAGATACAGCAACATGAAAGTTGCTCAACATGAAAGCTTGGTGCCGTAGCTTGAGCCTCTGCAGATGGCATTCAAGCTCCGATTCTGTACAGAAGCCTTGAAACTCTCTGCACTGTTTGTTGCATTCTTCGCAAAACCCCAGAATGCGTACGAACAAAATGAACTGAGGAATCAAAAAGACATCGAGTGTAACCAAGAGATATGCACATAGACTGTAGGTGTAACAGGCAAAAAGCCATAAATCCACCTACACAATGCAGAGGAGGGATTGTAATTATCTGTGAACTCATACCTCATATTCTTGAACTACTTTAGTGCCTTTTCCAAGCCCTGTAAAGAAACAAGTCAAGTTTTACATTCATTATAAAGAAACAAAGGTTGAATATCCTGTAAACTATTTGATTTGGCTGCAAAATGTAGATTTTTAAATCTTCCTGTTTCTAAAGCTTTTAAAAATGAATTGTCCTCCTTTGTATAATCCCTAGACATGTGTATTTATCAATGAACTATTTGTCACAGTTATGTGATCGCGTGCATCAAGTTACAAAAATTCAGAGGTGCACGACCAAACAACACGACCACTTGTGGAGCCTACGTGCGCCACACACCGGCCGTCATTTTCTGGCATGCCAACTATAAACTGAGTTTAAGGTCTAATCCATACAAGAAGTGGACGTAGTCATGGTGACGTCATCCATTGGTTTTTGGACTGCCGTTTTGAAGTCTTGAGTTCAGCGATTTCACCGTCGCCATCTTGTTCTTTTGCAACCAGTGAACAGGAAGTCACCATATCTGGACTGTGGAGGAGTGACGTAAAGACGCCGTATACGTCTCTGGTAGAGACCTGTCAATCATTGTGTAGTCCCGCCCTAAAGCATACCCTGCTTTATGGTCTGTTTGACTCTAAATGGACCATAATGTACTAAATGAACATCATGCCGTATTGAAGAAGACTTAAAACTAGAGATTGAGACCATAAACTCATGTTTACAATGTTTACTGAGGTAATAAATCAAGAGAGAAGTAGAGTCATTTTCTCATAGACCTCTATACAACCAGAGGAGTCGCCCCCTGCTGATCAGTAGAGAGAATGCAGGTTTTAAGATATCGCCTTCACTCAGCAGAACTGGAGGTTTGCCGCCTGGTCCAATCCCAGTGTCCCCTTAAACCCAAACCCTCAGGGACTTATCTTACGTCACCTGCAAATGGTTGAGTGTGAGAGACTCGAAGGGCTTGAAATGGTGTAGATATGAATGATGTCAGCACTTTGCTGCAACATATCACGTTACCATGACAACTTCATTACATGTTATGCGCAATTGTGGGTATTTATTTGATATGTTTTACTCCCTGATTTGGTCGTCTGCCAGGTTCTTGCCTTATGAGATGAGTTTTGGTCAAAACGGCTTCAATAAGGAAAAGAAAAGAACTGGTTGGTGAATAAGCCAGGTCTGTAATATAGTGTTTTCAGGTGACTCTAAATGGCCGTATGAGTGAATGTGAGCGTGAATGGTTGTCTGTCTCTGTGTCATATGTCCTAATGTTTAGGAGAAGTTAAATCCAGAGGTCAAATTTCATGTATGTGTCAGTATGTATATGACAATTTGAATAAAGTTTATGTTAACAACAGCATACATTTTTGAACATATTTTTTCCGCTCTATAGTTTATGTCATAATTAGAAATGCACTGATCGATCGGCTGCCGATCCAACCGGGCGGTTTTCAGCTCATCGGCCATGACTGATGACCACTGTCATATTAATAGAAGTCCCATATTTCACTTCTTTTTTTTTTGTCGGTCACATTTACACATGTGTACTGCCACACACACACACACACACACGTATTAGGTGTAAAGGATCTTTAACATGCAGGAAGCAGGCTTAACGTTTTCTAATTCTCACAACTGCAAGTCCAAAATAAGTGGTGGAGGAAGAACGTTAACACATTTGGAACCACTAACTTTGCACTAACTTAATCATTACATATATTGTAATATATTCCTGAGTGAAGTTTATAAAGAATAAACATCCATCAGTATCAGTCATTTCTCCTGTCCTATGTTCTCCTGTCCTCTTGACCTCCTCTCTTCTTGTCCTCCTTTACTCTGTCCTCCTTTCCTCTTGATGTCCTCTCTTCTTGTCCTCCTTTCCTCTGTCCTCCTGTCTTATGTCTTCCCATCCTCCTGTGTTCTGTCCTCCTGTCTTTCTGTCCTCTGCCTTCCTGTCCTCCTGTCCTCTGTGCTCCTGTCCTCTGTCTTTCTGTCCTCCTGTCTTCCTGTCCTCTGCCTTCCTGTCCTCTGTCTTCCTGTCCTCCTGTCTTTCCGTCCTCTGTCTTCCTGTCCTCTGTCCTCCTGGCTGCTTTGTGTTGGCCAACACAAGTTTAGGAGAACAAACTAAACAGTCAGACTGCAGACTCTGTTGTTTTAGCTTGTTGCTAACGACGTGCTATTAGCCGAGCCAGCGTGCTGTGTCTGTAAATGTAGTGCTGGTGGATGAGAGACTGAGGATGCTCAGCTCTGACACACAGCAGAGGAAATGCTGCAGTGTGATAATAGATTCCACCAAAACAAAAAAGACCTGATAACCTGGGAGCTTACCTGTACTCTGGTCTTTGATCGTTTCGGTACGCATCCTAGGAGTAACACTCGTGGGGGCTCAACAAGAGCCCACAGCTCATTTGTATGGCGAGGCCCCCTTTGATCTATCCCATCTCTCCTGTGTGTCTCCAGCCGGTTCATCCTGCACATTCCCAGTGAGGAGAGGGACAACGCTATCCGGGTGTGCTTCCAGATCGAGCTGGCCCACTGGTTCTACCTGGACTTCTGCATGCAGAACACTCCAGGAGCTCCTCACTGTGGGATAAGAGACTTTGCCAAAGCAGATATCCTTACATGTGATGTTAAATTACCTTATCAGTTTTGAAATTTGTGTCCACTGTACTGTACTGCACATATACCAAAGCATACCCTTTTTTGAATGTTGAAATGCATTTTTTACCTCAGACTTTTTGTTGTATTAACAACCACCCTAAAGAAATGATCAGTGATTCACCAGCAGCTCCTCTATAGGTTTAGAACAGGAAGCCAGATGTGGTGCTCATGTTAGACGTCACTAGACGCTATTTTCCTTGACAGCTGCAAACTCTTCCATCACTGTCCGTTTCTGTTGCCTCATGGAGAGGATGTTCAGAAAATCCTCGAACAGTGGAAGGAGTACAAGATGGGTGTTCCTACATTTGGAGCAATCATTCTGGATGAAGCGCTGGAAAACGTGAGTTTTTTTCACACTCGTACAACGCAGCATTACCTGACAGCCTTTATAAGGTAATTTAAAGCAGATCTCTGGTTTATATGTTCATGTTTTTGTTAATTTCCATTTGTGATATCAACATTGTGACATGACATCTATCACACTTCATCCTGATGGAGGATCCTCCTCTGTTGCTCTCTCTAAGGTCTCTCCCTCTTTTCGCCCTGTTAAAGGGTTTTTGGGGGGAGTTCTTCCTGTCCCGATGTGAGGGTCCTGGGACAGAGGATGTCACATGTGTACAGATTGTAAAGCCCTCTGAGGAGGATTTGTGATTTGTGATTTTGGGCTCTACAAAATAAATTGAATTGAATTAAATAACTGGTGCACCGTTTCTCTTCAGGCACTGCTTGTTCAGGGCTACCTTGCAAAGTCTGGCTGGGGCTTTCCAAAGGGGAAAGTGAACGAGGACGAAGCTCCTTATGACTGTGCAGTTCGTGAAGTGAGTCTCATGTTGTTTGCAGTTCAACGTTGACCATCTGAAAGCACTAGAAGCCATGAATAGGTAATGCGTGTAGTTCACAGCTCAGAATCCTGTTTTCCAGGTGTTGGAGGAGACGGGCTTTGACATCAAGAATCGCATCAGTAAAGACAGGTACATCGAGCAGAAAATCACCGACCAGCTGGTGCGGCTCTACATCATACCAGGAGTGTCAAAGGATACCAAGTTCAATCCCAAAACAAGGAAGGAGATCAGGGTGGGAATTCCTTTTTACACGTTTTCTCATCACATAGATTTCCAGCTTCATAATGACATTTCTTTTTACAATTAACAATGCAAATGACATGGTAGTACAAAATGTAAACCATACTTTGGTGTTTCATTTTTACCTCTTTACTTAACTTATTATTATTATTATTATTATACTATGGACTGTTCCAGCCCAGAATGTATTCATGAACAGTTACACTGAAACTGTTGTTTGCTGACAGAAACGTCTCAAAGTCTTGTTGTTCTTTTCTTGTAGAACATTGAATGGTTTCCTATCGAGAAGCTGCCATGTCACAGGAATGACATGACCCCGAAGTCTAAACTCGGACTGGCCCCCAACAGGTTTTTCATGGCCATTCCGTTCATAAGGTGCGTGTGTAGAATGTTTCAATTCATTATTTGCATAATAAGAACAGATCTGGAGTCAGGACGTGGTGAGCCTATAGCTCACCTAAAGACCAATACCTCCAAAGCTCCCTATATAATGTCTGGTATCTTGTTTGTTTAATCTAAACTAACAATGTGTGTGTGGCTGCCTAAATGTTAAAATAATAAAACAAATACTGTAAAATGGTTTTATTATAGTAACTGACTGGCTCACTTCCTGCTCCACAGGCCACTGAGAGAGTGGATCAGCAGGCTGAAAGGAGAGTCCACAGACAGTGATGAGGACTTTGCAAACAGCGGCACCACTCCAGGCAAACCTTCAGATAATACTCGGTAAAGATACTTCCTCAGTGGAACTCACCAACACTTCTCTAGATACACTTCTCAAGCTACAGTCAAAGGTTCCCGTTTTTGAAACGTATAAAGGCCAGTCTTGCAGAGAAACCGGTATACCGGGTTCATCACCGTCACCGCTGTCACGTTCTGCAACAAAATGGATTTTGTCATACTGTCGTTGGTTTCAGCTCACACTGTGGATCAGTGGTAGAGCAGGGTCGTTCTTCCGGCGGTTCGATCCTCGGCTCCAGTAGTCCATGTCGATGTGTCCTTGGGCAAGACACTTAACCCCAAAATTGCTCCCTATGAATGGGTGTGAATGTTAGTTAGTCCTGATAGGCAGGTGACAACTTGCATGGTAGCCCCTCCATCAGTGTACGAATGGGTGTGAATGGGTGAATGATGACATGTAGTGTTAAATAGCTTTGAGTGTTCGGAAGACTAGAAAAGCGCTGTACAAGTACAGTCCATTTACCATTCACACGCCGTATAACAGCCTACAGGAGCAATTTGGGGATAGAGCTGAATCATGTTGTGAGTGGAGTAACCCTTTTATCTCCCACCTCTAAGTTCCCCCCCCGCTTCACTGAGGTCTCTAGCTTCTGTCAGCTGATTGTTTTGGTTTTCCATTCCACAAACTCAGCTCTCACACCTGGGCCCTGTACTATGAAGCAGGATTTAAGTTTAGCGAGGTAACTTCAGGATTAACTCTGGGTTTACAGTCCTACGACGGAGGTTCACTTCTTACCGGGATAGATCGTCATGGTAACTGATGCTGAGCACATAACCTGCTCCGGAGCAGGTTGCTAGCAGTGGTTACTAGCTGCCACTGTAGACTCTGTCTTTTCAACAGTCACACAATGAAAATCTGTTTGGATCTGCACATTCGGTCTGAATAAAATTGCAGTTTTGTTATTTATCACACCTAATCGCACACTAATAACCACTGTTGTTAATTTGTTATTCATAAGAATAACAAACAAGAGCTGGAGAGCTGTTACTGATATGTTCATGCATGTACCAGTGTTAGTATGATAATAACCCTTGAGCAGAAGTTAAGATATTGCTTTCTGGACCACTAACAGTTGACCATCCGCCTTGTATACTTCGTTTTTTTCTTCCATCTTTTAGATCAAAATCGCGCCGCCTCACAGGTGCAGATGCACTTCTAGGAGACGGCTGGGCAAAACACAAGCAGCAGAAGACTCTGGACCAGCTGAACCAGTATGAGCTCAACCAGGTTAGAAAAGATAGGATTACTCTGCTACAGTTAACCTTTAGGCTACATGTTACCAACAGTTATTATTAACAGTAATTATAGTGGACCTGAGGGTCAAAACACAACGTCATTTCAAGAAACACAACCACATATCAAGAAACACAGAAGACACAACTACAATAAGGTTTGACTCAAACCGGAAAAGGTGGCTACATATTAGACTGATTCTTCGTCGCTGATTGGATGTCAGTCTGCCACAAACGGAAGTGCTGCTGCTTCTTGATTTTCCAGTAGAGCCTTGCTGCCTCTCACAGGTTGGGATGATAAGTATTTTTATCCCGAAGGAAATTGCTTTACAGCAGTTACAATACAATACAAAGTGGCAAGAGTGCAAATACAAAGAGTGCAAATGTAAAAGTATTATATAGCAGTTCAGAGTGTACAACAAATGAAAGTAGTTGTTTTGCAGTGTTTTCCCTGCGTTAATCTTTTATTCCATACAGGTTTTGCAGCAAGTTCCTTTTACTGTGTAAAAGGGAACACCATATTTAAGGTGTTCAGAGGCCAGTAGCAGTGGGGGACCCGAAGGCAGTCCAGTGTCATCTACACCGGGCAGCCCAGCGTAGGCTGACGGGGTGCAGCCACCGAATATGCAAAACAATTTACATGACTGGCGTTATCAAACGTTAATTTAGCTCAACGCCACTCTCTCCCCACGAAACAATAACTAAACATCATTTCAAACGTCATTTAACATACAAGAACATCCTCTCACGTCTCAACTAAACATAGGACACTGCAGCTCATTAATGTTGACTAACATAAAGGCTTTGTATTTTTTACTCTTTATTTTATCTTTATTTCATCTTATCATCCCAACCTGTCAGAGGCAGTAACATGCCGCAAGGCAGCCAGTCTGCCGGAAATCTAAAAGAAGAAGTACTTCTGTTTGTGGCCATTGCATCCAATCAGCAGCGAGGAATTGTAGTAGTTACTCAAATCTGAAGAATCTAAATGGCTACTAACGAGAAGTGGTCTAACCATGGCAGTCCATGGCACTTTAAAGCAACAGCCTTGAACGAAGAGAGTTACATTACTTAATAATTCCGTCCAAGTGTTAGAAACTGTATTTAAAAAAACAGGGTAGTTATGGGGTCAAGCACAGTTTAAAATGTCTTTTCTTTAAGATGAGTTCAGCATTAACCCGAGGCATGGGCACCGACACACTAAATTCAATGCAATAGTGATCAGATAGTTACAATTTTTCAACATTTAGCCCCTTACTAACTTCCAGATCAAAAGTATTGCCACAATTGTGTCATGTTGTGTAAAACCGTCTTATACAAACCTTCCTTTTGTCGTTTATGTTGTCAATTAAAACCAACAATAAGAATTTTATTTAAATTTGTGCAAACCTTACATTTTTGATGGAATATTCACGTCGGCCTTGGTGTGAAAGGTTTGAGGGCAATGTGAAAAATTGTCAATGAATAGTCCGTATTTCCTTTTCGTTTTGTCGCAGATGTGAAAAGGCCTTGAGAGCAATTCATAGACCCTATGTGAATCAGCTCAAAAAAGAGCTGCAGCAACTCACCCGGAAAAGTGAGACCAGGGCCAGACCTGGGAGGGGAGCTTGCCAGCGAGCAGTTAGTGGCCGTGTCTTGAGCCATGGGGCTTGGGCGGGCACAGCGCGAAAGATCCACGTGCAGCCGCCTCCTTGTGGGCCTACTACTTGCAAGGCTAGGCATTGGAGTTGATTGCAATGTTAGCTGGGCGACAGGCAAAGGCAGCAGCCCAGTTATGATGACCTCTGGCATCACAGACAGGCTCGAGGGGCGTGAAACAAGGTAGGAACTGGAGCTGGTGCGGGAGGTGGAGCGTCACCAACTAGACATAGTTGAGCTCACCTCTACGCACTCGATACTCCCAACTGGTGAAGGAGGCCGGCAAGCCTAAGAAGGAGGCCTTTTCGGGCTTGGTTGGCCCAGAAGTCTCTCGAGGCAGCAGACAGGTACTGGGGGGCCAGAAGGGCTGCAGTTAGGATGGTCGCCAAAGCAAAACCCCTTTACCTTTGCAAGGCTGTTGGGGCTGATCAGAGTTTGCCCATCCAGCCAACATGTGTTTTGTGGACTTGGAGAAGGCAGACGAACGTGTCCCCAGAGGAGTACTGTGGGGGCTACTGTGGGAGTTTGTGGCACCGGGGTTATTGTCATCCGGTCTTTATTTAACCCAAGTGAGAGCTGTGTGCATATTCCCCACATAAAGTCAAACATGTTTTCAGTGGGTGTAGACCTCAGTTAGGGTTGTCCCTTGTCACTGATTGTGTTTGCGATATTCATGGGGAGGATCTCAAGGTGCAGCCGGGGGTAGGTGACTGTCCGGTTTTGGGACATTAGAGTTGCATCTCTTCTCTTTGCAAATGATGTGGTTCTGTTGGCATACTGCATTTGATATACTATGTGGACATACTAAATATTTTTCTTGCATACTAAATAGTATGGTAGTGTGGTTATTGGAATGCACCCTATTAGGTTTGGTCTGTGTAACGAGGGATGCACCTTGTGATTTAATTTTGGGTTGAGTGCAGGTCAGCCTGCTTTACTGATACAGCCCCTGAAATGGGACATATAATCTGATACTCTCTTGGTTGCTACATCACTGTAACCTCATAACTTGTGTTCTTTTTTCGATAGAACACACATTTGAAAAGCAATGGGAAGAAATGTCAGGACTCCCCTCATGGAGCCAACAACCAGCAGGTGAAAACCATATTAGTAAGTGCAGAACCTTGACTTTCAGATTGCTGTTGTTAGTATAGAGACCACATGTGATTCTGACCTTTTCAGAAAAAGAAAAAATAGTTCAAACCGTAACACCAGTCAAAAAGGGAAATTGACATACCGGAAATTTCTACAGACGTTTTGCCAGTGGACCAGTTTTAAAGCCACTGTATGTAGAATTTGAAAATGATCCACTTATGCATGGTGCTGCTCTGTAAGTTATGGTGTAATTACAAGCTTTGCACTCTTGTACAATTTCTACAGAAAGAAGATAAAAGACTTCAACCCAGAAGACTGCAAGACAGTTTTGAGAGAGGTATGGTTTGTTCAGTTTTAATATCCTGAATACTGTCAAGTCAAGATGTTTGTAAATGACTAAATCATTTCTTAAACTATGACTATTGTCCTTCACATATGGTTTGTCGAGTTACCATGTGTAACCTTGAGACTGCACCCACTTTGCTAAGCTAACTTGGCTTAATAAAATACTTCAACTGCTGCACTGTATCTGCTAATGTGACAGCGTTGAATTCACACTTGAACTGTGTAGCAAAAGTGTAAGATATGTTACTGGCTCCTGAGTTATTAGATGCCTTAAAAGAATCACAATGCTGTCCTCTTGTCAGAAATGAGACCATTATGTAAAAAACGTTTACAGAGTGAAATACCGGAGACCATCTGGTAGAAAACATATTTGTGTGGAAACTGCTTAACTGTGGGCACGATTTAGTCAAACGTAAGAGGACTTCTTGAAGCAAGTGTAACACATTATTTTTAACGTTTGCAATTACTCAATTTCTAATTTGGGGTGTGGCCCTTGAGGGAAGATTACTCTGTAATGAATGAGGAGCACCAGTTGTGGTCCAGAAAGGGGACATTTAGTTGAATTCCAGGACAACAGCAAACTGAGTGGAGAATAAAAAAAAATCTTTCTTTCAACATAGTTTTCGACCTTCCTAAGAGTAAAGATTAACATCTCCCACAAACCAGACATGTAAATGAACTGTTCTCTTCACAGATGTGGCTCCATGCAGCTCCAACGGTCACCAGACTGTCCACAGCAGAGACTCCGAGGAACTGCAGTCTTCCAAGGCTTTCCTCAATTTCAAATTTGACAGAGACGCCATCATGAGATGTTTTGACTACTGACATGGCTGATGAGGAGCTGTGCCTCTCCTGTAAATGCATGGAACTATGGCCTCAGAGGCTTTTTACCTTATAGTCTAGGGGATGTTACTGAACATGTCCTTTTCCTTCTTGGCCTGCTTGTCATGAGCACACATCTACAGTGGGGAGTTGCTCATCTATCATTGAACACATCCAATAAGATTCACAGAAGTAGTTTGCCTTTGCTGCCCAACTTTTCAGACTATATAAAAGGTATGGTAACCTAACAGCACTGCTTTCCCTCTGTCTGAGGCAGAATCCTAATGTTAGTCTAAATTCAAAATTCAATCTGCAGGAGAGGACTGCTCAGGTTAACCATTAGTCTTTTAAAGGCAAGAGATCAAACGTTTTGAGAACATAATGGATTTTAAGCACATATGAAGTGACAGAAACATAAAAAAAAACAATCAGTTGGGGTATCTCAGTGAATTCCGCCAGTGAATCAAAGTTAAATTTAGTTTATTATGTACTGATTTTAAGATGCAATAACGTTAGGGTTAGTCATTTCCTCCATTTTTCCTATTGAGTCCTAAAAATGCTTTGGATGCTTAAAAAAGGTGGGTATTTATAGTGTTATTGGCTTTATGTATTTACAGTGTTGTTGGCTTTATTACCATTATTTCTTAAGATTTTATCCAGGAATGTAGTATGTAATGGAATATTGACTTGGGGAATGAAGAACAATCTTTGCAAGTTGAATGTCATTAAATTCATGTTGCTCTGCTGTATTGAGTTCTATGGAAATCATTAGATCAAATTGATTTGTTTGGAAATCAATCATAAAGGCCAGAAAAATTACTGATCACTGATATGACGTAATGATAATTGAATGAAACTTTAATTTGAATTTGAATGATGTCCAGGTGTTAGCTTGTCCCTAATGAAAATGAACATTTCCATAATGTCAGGATTCTTGCATGTCTCTTTTACAAAAACTGTCAAAGTCAACCATTATAAGATTGACTACTATGAAAATGCCCAATTTCCCATGAATGTTTCTTATTGTGGCAGGGTTGTGCTCAGGATCACACAAACAATGGTCAGTGTAGTTTTCATTTCAAGTTTCATTTTGGGAGTCCTTGTGCATTATACACCATATGGGAAAATAGATTTTAACATTTTAATTCTGTCATATATCACATGCACATAACAGGAAAATTACTTTTCAGTTTGATTAAATAGGCTAGTTGGAATGTTTTTGGCAACAGCCTTCCATCTGTTGTTATTTTCCAGCAGGCTTGTAATTCAAGGCTGTTCTATCCTGCAGCTTCCACAGGTTTAAATTCCTGTCGAGATTTCGTAAAATAGAGGTTCTCAGTCATATCTTTCATGATCCACTACTTAGTGTTTGGCTGGTATGAAAACTTGCACACTGTTAAGGCTATGGGGCATGATGGAGGACCATTGCGCTAGACTACTGTGAACATAAGTTATTCTCTCAACCAATGACAAATACGAATGACTCTCTCAAAGGCCCACATTAAGGGATTTCTAGCCACTATAGATGATAAGACTATTTTCATAAAAGTTTTAGAAGTCTTTAAAGTTCAACCCACAGTCTTACAATTTATATTTTGTCAAGGTTATATAAACATGCATACATGTGAGATGTCTTTTTGTGATTCTCACTGGGGTTTCTTTGTTATTAAGTGTACAGATGGTGATCTCAAGTTGTTCTTTGGCTTCAATGGTGTTTTGACTTAAAATGTGAATATTAATAAAGTTGTTTTTTCCACTTGTGGCTGTTTGCTTGTTAACATGAATTTTAAATACAATATCACCACTATATCAAACATTTCAATGTGTCTTTTCTCCTGGAGAACGGCTCAGATTGAAGGATAGTACATTGATTATAGTCGAGGTTTGTAAATGTTTTCTATGATGAACATAATGTATTTCATTCACATTACACACAAACATAGAAGCAGGGAAACATGCTATTGGAGTGAACAGAAGCAAACTGTTTTAAAAGTCTTGTTTAGTTGCCTACATTTTTCCAAGAAAGGCTCTATAGGAAGAATAAACACGAGAATAAGATCGTGGGGCCAGAGGGTTGTAATGTTGCACCTTTAACTGTCATGATGGCCATGAGCTCTTTTTTCAGCCCACAGCGAGAGCATATCACTTGACAGGACTTTTCCTGTGAGGTACACAAAATCACAACAGCGGGTGCATCCACTCAAGCAATATAACAACATGGCCAGTCCCTAACAATGCAAAGCAAAGCATGCTCACTGCCACACCAGTTACAGTACATAGCATTTTCAAGGTTTCTGTGAGGATGGCCCCGTAGCAGCTGGACTTTAGAAGCAAGAGGACTGACACAGAGGTTTGGTGCAGACCAACCAGGTGTTTATTTGCCCAACAATTATCACAAAACATGACAGTCATCTTCGTATACATTGGACCACGGGCAGCATGTGGTCCTGGCAGGACAGCACTAGATTGAATCTGGCATAACCTGACACTGACGAGGACCTCAACCCCACGACAATATACAGTAGGTAACTATGCCCCTCACCTGACAACACAATTACCGTCCTAAACCACAACAAATACGGTCAAATACATTCCTATCGCCCTAATGCCAATCATCTGCATGATCTCTGTTTGTGTTACATATCACAATAGAGTCATATAAAGCCCAAACAGGGAATTCAACTTCACTAACACCCCTCTAATTAGTACATGGTTCCTCCGGAACTATAAATTGGTGCTCAGGTACACTAGAGTGACTTGAACACAATACACATTACATGTTATTTGACTGCACAAACAAACCGTTTATACCCTCAATCATCATTTGGGCAAAGATAGCCAAACTAATCATGTGTTTGTCTTTACAGGCCCAGCCTCCAAACAATTCTAACTGAGGCAGCCACAACATCTAACAGAACCTTCAACCCTTTGAGTGTGTCTTATTCCTTGAAGCAGTCCTGTGTACAAAGTGCTACAAATGCTTGTAATGGAGAGGGCCTTGATTACAGTTTATATTAGGACAATTATGTAATTATTCCTACTGTTAATGATTAGAATATAATTTTGTATTATTCATTAAGCATGGCATTGTGTACAAGTCGCCACTGCACACTAATAAGCTACACACAAATGGACAATGTTACCACACAGCAGACACGAGATTTACCCCCTGTTGTTTCCTGAGCCATTTTCTATACTCACAGACAATGACATCATCACAGCTCGTGCATCGAGCGCGAAGGCTCCACAAGTTGTCACGCACTTGGTTGTGCGCCTCTGAATTTTTGAAACTCGGCGCTTGCTGCATGCACACTTGGGGCTTTTCAGACATGACTGTCATAGTTCACTAATTACTCTACTGAGAATTAGATTAGAGACCGGAGGTCTTAAAAATCTACATTTGAGTAAATATTTTGCAGCCAAATCAAATTCAATCAGGAGAGACAAGTCAGATAAAGAAAAGATCATAGTTTATTATAAACAAATATGTGATGATAAAGTCTTCAGTCTTTGGCGCTTGGACTCTACAGGGAGATTTGTAATGGAGGGGCCTCTGCCCTGAGCAGCAAGATCCCCCCCCCGTGGAGTCCAGACACTGGTGGTGGTGGTGGCTGATAGAATGATGAGTTGATGAAGCTGATGAATCTGCAAAGACTGGGCGGAGGGGTGAGTAACAGCAGCATGAACGTACTGAAGATAGAGAGACAGTCATATTTAAAGAGACAGCAGCACAATGAGGCTAACCATGTCATTGTTTCATTGTGCTTGCTGGATAAAGGAGACCAGCTGATCTAAACTGCTGCTATCATGATTGACAGCCCCAAACAATAACAGCAAGGAAATAATGAGTAAGCATGTGTGAGGAGTGAATGGCAGATGTATGAGAAATAAACTACAGGCTTAGGCATTCAAGACTATATATAGTCTTCCTGACTTAATTTACGCAAGAGCTTCATATGGTTAAAGGATATTCAACATTTGTCTCTTTATAATGCATTTATAGGCTTCTTTCTTTACAGGGCTTGTTTAAAGGCAGTAAAGTAGGCCATGAATATGAGATAAGTTTACTTCTTGCTTCTTCAGTGTATTGTTTGTACACAATTTGGTGTTTCAGAGAATGTAACGAACATCACATTGAGCTTAAATGCCTTTGTGAGAGCAGCTCGCCCGTGATCTGTGATGCTTGCGCCGTGATGCCTCGCTCAAGTATAACCAAAATTTAACAGAGCTGGATTCGGCGTTTCCCTGCAGAATTTACTCTCCTTCTTTCCACTTCCCATTGCATTTTATTCAGATCCTTTTAAAAACTTTATTGAAGGAGGTGAGGTGAAGCATAATCCTTCTGTGATCACTGAAGATGCTTTTCCAAGAAGAGTTCTCTGTTGGCATTAGAGGCCCCGAAAGTTATAGCAGACTGAAGTGTTTAGAGACTTAGCATTGCCTCCAGGATCTTTGTGGCTGGTGGCATCTTTAAAGTACATTTCTGATCCTTCGAGGGCAGAGAAAAACCCTTCAACTATTGGGCAACATCGTATTCGAGCCTCCTCGATCCTCGAGATGCATTTTAGGAATTGGGATGTCCTTCAAAATTAAGCGCTGAGATCGATATCCGGGTCACAAGCCAAAGGATCGAAGAGTGGGAAATGAGAGACCCACTGTCTCTGTCAGTTAGTCTTTGTCCCCCATGTAAAGCATTCCAGTGATTTGACTTGTGTAATTGTTCCTGATCTCTACCAGATTCTCTCTACCACGCTTTTGCCTCATCCCTGCCTGTATTGTTTACCCGATTACCTGACGGATCTCCTGTGTACCGAACCTGTTGATAAAGACTTTTATTGCACTTTATCCTGCTCTCTGGGTCGTGCTTTTAAATCCTGTTTTCCCTGTGGTTTCTCCAGTCGTAACCGTACGAACTGCTCACAAATGTACTAAGCCAATCCCAGTTTGGTGTGTGGGGTGCTCCAGGCGCAAGGAATAATACACTACCACGATAAGCAACTTACCTCCATTAGCTTGGAGTTTAGGGAGCTGTAAGAGCTGTCTATTTTTATTGAGACTTTCACTAAAATCTTTGATCCAGTGCTTTTGGTCCAGCAGGCAGCTGTAGCCCTCATCGGACTGCTCCAAGGCAGATGACTGCAAACAGACTACGCCATCGACTTCCGTACCCTGACGGCCGACAGCAGCTGTATGTGTTTGGTAAAAATAGGTAACGGGACAGCCAAGTGAAAACAATGAAAACACTGCCAAATGAATTCACATATGACAGCCAAATGCTATTAGTGATCAGAGTTGTGTTGATGAGCTACATTAATCAACTGACATGACCACATGATTTGTTAAATTTGCATCAACCCAAAGTATTTTTTTGACACATGAAAAGAGAAGTAACAAGCCAATAAGAATCACATCAAATGATAATGGTGCTAGGGAAACTATTGTCATTGTGCACACAGGTACATTGTTAATATATTTACTTCTGACTAATCCCATGCCTCATCATGCAATAAAGCAACACAGATCCTCTTTAATGTAATTTTACCATCAAGTTTAGACTGTTTTATAGAACTGAAGATGTGAACCTACATTTCTTGACATTGCTTGTATTAGCTGCCATAGACATAAAATAGAAAACAAGACAGAAACAAGAATGCCTGCTATCTGTTACTTTGCTTCTGTGCTTGGCCCTGTAATAAATGAATCAGTGAATAAACTGGGACTCTAGACCTGGAAGTGTTCATGGTTGAGCAGGGTCAGTGTGGGGTCACTGAACTCGGAGTCCTCCCCCCCCAGCTGTTCTCCAAGAAGAGAGGTGGGTCTTCCTGGAAATGCTCTATCTACCTGAATGTGTCGTCCAGAGTGAAGGACAGGTAAATTATGCTTAGTGTTTAATACAAATGAACCAAATGTCTCTTTATTTTTCAATTGTCATTATTTATTGCTTCATGAACTGCACATGCTCACTCTTTCATGACATGAAAAAACAAGTAAATACATGATGTATACAACCAAGTTGCAAATTAACCCTAAATATCAAATATCAGATGAAATAACCTGCATTAAATACATCTGACAAAGACACAGGTAATTATAACTAAATCGTATGGTTTAAATACACTTATACTGCCATCTACTGGTAGAAATGGTAACACTTACTCTCCTTTACAGGCTGTGCTCTGCCATCACTCAAGGAACAGAATACGGTGGAAATTAAATATCAGTGCTAACAGCAAAAACTCTGTGAACACAAAAATGACTTTGATTAAACTATATTACGAACTGTATTGCATGAAATAATGCACCGATTAATCGAAAAGTTGATTATTGCTGTATACATGGATACATGAATATTAAATCGCATGTAGTCAAATACTGTTGCTAACATACTCCCATCGGCCCATATATATATATATTTTTTTTTTTTCTTATACCCTGGTATGTATGGAAGCCCATTCCCGCAGCAAAAAAAAAAAAAGGTAACTAAAAAAAATAAAAATGGGCTTCCATAGGGTATAGGTATGTGCTTGCATCATAGACGAACACTTTTCTTGCATACGCTCATTCTATTGCCTTGGCTTATATTTTGACATTTTCTTATTTCGTACTACCTGTCTTGCTTTGCGTCTCTCTTCAAATGAAAAACAAAAGAGGGATTTGCAAAAAACAAAATCGGCTCATTATTTGAGTTGGTTCTCTCGTATTTTGGTTTTTGGATTCAGACAACAAAAATGGAAAAACGGCTGTGCTTTTCCCTTTTTTCGTTTTTGGTTTAAAACGGAAAACGAAAAAAACGTGTTATTTCTGTATTTTCGTTTTTTCGATTAAACGGTAAAACAGACTATCAAAACTTACACGGTTCACTAAGCTTTATAGGTTCGTAATAGCGACTAACGCTGCTTCGTTTTATTCTGAAGGGTCGGACCGGATGTACTTTTGTTGTTGGCGGCGGAACGGAGGAAAAGGGGCAGAACACGCGGAACCTCTCACGTCCCATTAATCTGACAAGGATGCTTGAGGTTTGAGAGCACTGCTGGAGCACTTCACTAATAACGGTACAGTAATGTTATCTGCTTTTATTAGTTTTATGACAAAGTTGGACATGAAGCTGGCTACAGTTGTGTTATCCTGATGTGTCTCTCAGCCCTCCTGCTAAGTGTAATTTAAAGCTAGCTAACGTTAAGTTAGTGCTGTGTTTCGGTTACGTTACCGGTGAAATGACACACAAGGCATTTGTGGAAAGGTTTCTTTAAAGCTAACTTAGCAAACGTTCCACCACAACAATGCTTGTGCTAGTCGCTCGTGTAAGTTTCGTTGTCTAGCGACTTGAAATCAATCCGACTTGCCAGTTTATTGTCTAGTTTATTATAGTTTGTCCCTAGTGTCACATGTAGCGCAGACATTCAGTCAAACTAAACTTTACTGTGATGTTTTACTGTCTAGTCTCAAGTCTACAGCTTTAACCAACGTTACTATAAACATCCAGTGAAAAAGCGCCATAATACTGTTAAACATGTGGCCAACCATTATTTTACACTTTAACTATCACTTCTCTTCCTCCCTCTGCCCTCTGACCCCTTCAGTCTGAGCCAGCTCCTCCTGCATAGCTGATATTCCTCCCAGTCTGGTAAGAATGACACAATGCACACATAATGGATTGTATATTAAGCAGAAATGTAGGGTTAGTAGTTAGCCTGTCAGGATAACTACTTTTGTTTGACGATATATTGTCCCAGAAATAATTGCAATAAACAATATTATTGACATATTAAGATAATTTTATGCCACTGATACAATGATAATATAATAGTGCAAGTACACCCTTTCAAAGAGCAATGAAGTTATAATTGTGAGAATACTCAGACATTGGAAATGGATTGTGAAACAAAATCCTAATAACTATGGTCTCTTAGGCTCTGTCAATAACAATTGCACTTAAATAACTATTAAACATGTGACAGAGGTACAGAGAGTCATTCATTCCTTGAAGGTAGAGCTTGGGTGTTTTGAAGTGGGGTTCTTCTCCATAGTCTGTGTATTACCAATGTGCTGCTGTGGACAGCAGCAAAGCCTACTTTAGACACTTAAAAAAGAAATTGAAGTGCTGTATTTAGAATGTTTTTCTGACATGGAACTGAACTGAAAGTGGAACTAGTCTATACATTTTTAAATGAAGCCTGGTGGCTTTGAAGAGATCACAGATATGTTTCACTTTCAGTTCAGTTCTCCATCAGAAAGGGCTGACTGATGGTAAGTTATGGCGGTGAAATATTCTAAATCTAGTGCACACATTAAGTGATATTGATTTTTTAGGTGTCTAAAATGTGTTTTGCTGCTTCCCCCGTCCTCAACAGTTTAGTGCTCTGCTCCTGTACCGGTGGTCCTGTCTGTTTCAACATCTACTGTAGCTAATAGATTGACTATGGAGAGGTTCTTCATACAACCCCACTTCAAAACACCCAAACCTTTAACAGGCAATATACGAGAGACAGCGAGATCCTCCTTGTGGCACTGGCACCTCAGTGGCTAGTCTGTGGCAAGCGTCAGTCAGGTGTCACAACAGGGGCAAGCGAGCGGCACTCGTTCGGCACCCGTCAATAAGCTGCCGAGCTGAGCGGGCGGAGCCACATTTCCTGAGAACACCCATTGTTGTTACGATTGGATTTTCTGCACACACAAAAATGACTTTGATTAAACTATATTACGAACTGTATTGCATCAAACCATCCACAGATTAATCGAAAAGTTGATTTGGATAAATCAATATTAAATCGCATGGTGCCGGCGGGACTCTGGCCTGCGCGTCCGAGAACGTCCGCGACCGTTGGACAGCGCGTCCGCGAGTGAGATGTTTTTAATCCCGCGTGGACCGCCTAATGCTGGAAATGATGCTTTGTAAATAGTCCAATGCTTCCTGTATCCGCTGCCTGGCGCTACAGAACATGTGCATTATGTAGCTCTATATGAAGTGTAAACCACATTGTGTAAAAGTCATGTAAATCGGATGGTGTTTGTCAAAAACCGCAGATTTCCTTTGGCCAGCAGGTGGCGCTGTGAGTATTAGGGAAAATTTGGTTGTAGACATCCTCAGGCCATGAGTGTTATCAAGCATGTGAAGTTTGGGACCGTTTGGAACAAGTCCAGCTGAGTTACATCAGACGTTTCCTTTAGCCAGTAGGCTTCGCGGGTTTACTGTAGCGCCCCCTAGTGGTCGAATGCAAAACAATTCTCAGGGTATGTTACTGGATGCGATGTGCACATATGCTGAATATTTTGGGAATTTGAGAAGTTGTGAATTGATATTTTGCCACGCACCTAAGAAGTGTATTGGTCCATATCTTGTAAATGCAAAGAGATATCAAAAAGATCCTGATAACTTTTGATGATCTAGATCCACTTATGATCCACAGCAAATTTCGTAGAAATCGGACCCAGTGTGTAGGAGTTCGCAAAAATGTGTTTTTTTTCCACTAAATTCAAAATGGCTGACTTCCGGTTGGGTTTAGAGCTTAGAGCCCCAAGGGCTTTTTTGTAAGTCTACATGTGATACATCTGTTTACCAAATGTTATACATCTAAATTTTATATATAGATAGTGAAACGTACTGCGAGGGCTGCATCGTCGAAATATTGTATAAATTCATACAAAATTGAAAATGGCTGACTTCCTGTAGGGTTTGGAGCATGGTCCCAAGAGACTTTTTTTTAAGTCTTCATAGGAGACATGTGCCTACCAAGTTTCATATATGTAGCCAAACGTAGCGCTGGGGCTGCTCTTTTGAAATATTGTAGGGGGCGCTATAGAGGCAATTTAAAACGGCCAATAAAAAAAATCATATAAACTATTTCTTCCTATGACCTGTGACACGTACAAAGTTCCATGAGTTTTTGAGCATCCCAACCCACTAAACCATCAGCTTCCTTTTTCATGGCGAACGATGCATCGCCACGGCAACAGCGTTCAACGAAAACTCACAAAATTCATGATGATGCATCATCAATGTCTTAAGGCTATCCTTACCAAATTTGAAACTCATCAAGTCACCTGGCTAGGAGGTATAAATATAAGTATAGAATATGACATTTCCTTTAGCCAGTAGGCGGCACTATGGGTTATTGAATTGTTTTCAATTGAAGTATGTTTAGGCTTGAAGTAGCATCATGCAAAAGAAGTTTTGTGCGGATTGGATAATGTACCTTGGAGTTAGAACAACTTATAAGAACTTCTTTTTTCATAAACAATGAGGCAAAATGACCGCCACGCCACGTCAAGGTTCTTCGATGAAAACTCTCGATTTTGATAACTTTTAATCACAAAGGTCTTAAGAGCATCCTGACCAAAGTAGAAGTTGATCGCTTAAAATCTCTAGGAGGAGTTCGTTAAAGTCTGAAGGCTGAAAAATGCAAAAAGTGACAAAAAAGCACAACTTCGCGGGCTTACTGTAGTCCCCCCTAGTGGTTGAATGCAAAACAATTCTAAGGGTATGTTACAGGATACGATGTGCACATATGCTGCAAGTTTTGTAATTTTACGACAAACGGTTGAGAAGTTATGTGTATTGATATTAAGCCACGACCCTAAGAAGTTTATTGGTCCATATCGTGTAAACGAAAAGAGTTATCAAAAAGGTTTTGATAACTTTTGATGACGTATATCCAGTAATGATCCACAGCCAATTTGTTAGTAATCGGACCCAGCATGTAGGAGGAGTTCGCAAAAATGTGTTTTACACTAAATTCAATATGGCGGAAAATCTAAGTAGGTGGAGCTTAGGGGTCTGATTGGCTTTTTTGTAGATCTAGCTCAAGTGAACATGTGTGTTGAATTTCAAGTAAATCGGACATACTGGCCGAGGGCGTCGCCAGTCCGACTTGTAGGGGGCGCTAGAGAGCCATTTGTTTTACGCAGAAAGATGCATTCTTTTTCAGATGGCTACTTTTACCAGGCCTGACAAGTCCCCAAATGTGGTGAGTTTTCATGCATGGCAAGTCCTCCAACCATACGTACGTTGACCTAAACGAGTACAATTTCAATAGGGCCTTCGCTGGCCCGACGTTGTCTGTTGCTCGGGCCCTAATAAACCAGACTATCAAAACATACACGGACCAGGGGGGCACACTCCTCT